TTTTTACTAGTGGGTGCAGGACACTATAGTTCATTTATGTAAGTGAGGAGAGCAAAATAAAGTAAACTGTGACACATTATACCCAAAAATTATTCATTCAGTGGACTGCCAGTAAAATTGATAAAAATTTGGGACCAAAAATTTGATGACAATTTGACCTGACCATGTTTTATTACATACCTTTCTATCAAAGTTATCTGACATTATCAAGATGAATTTGTTCTGATACAGTTTAACTCTGAGTCATATTTTATTTCCATTTTCTAAACTATAGCGAATAAACTGTGATAATGTGAGAAATGTTGAAGGTGTCTGAATTAATTTAGGTTTGACTGTAGTATATTTATATATATATGACTTGACATGCACTTATTTAGGCTACTTTAGATTTAAACTAAATGAATTGCTCTCTCAGTAAGACCTAGCAAGTAATATTACATTTTTTGGTCATTAAAATACTTTTTTTCCCCTGCAATTAACGTTAATTTAATGTTAGATAGTAGTTTACCGACTCATGAAACAGTTCACTCACTATGAGATTTGTGCCTGTAAACAGTAACAAAACAGCAATTCGCAGCACATTTGTAGAAAGTGTCGTATATAACGACTCTGAGACACATTCACTAACCTTTAGCGAAGTGGATCTCCAGCACGTCTGGCTCATTGGGAGAATCTTCTGGGTTCTTGGTCATCTGGTAGAGATCTGGAGGTGCGTGATTCTGACAAACAGCATTCATTCATCAGTACATCAGCAGGGCTTTATGACAGAGATTCCCACACTCCTGTTAGTGAGCTGATGAAAGGCTAATACATACTTAAATGTAGTGTTGTCAAACGATTAATCGCGATTAATCGCATCCAAAGTAAAAGTTTTTGTTTACATAATATATGTGTGTGTACTGTTTATATTTATTATGCATATATAAATACAAACACATACAGTATACTTTTCTTAAATATATACATGCATGGGTGTGTATCTATATATACACAGTACACACACATATACTATGTAAACAAAAACTTTTACTTTGGATGCGATTAATCGCGATTAATCGTTTGACAGAACTACTTAAATGTCAAATTAAAATAAATAAATAATTGTACAATACAAACAATACAAATTAAACACTTTCAAATATTTCATTTGTTTATCTGCATTTCATGTGACATTAAATGGCATCAGAGAACCATAAAACATGCAAATGTGTTGTTAAATTGTTGAAATATTATATATACAATATAAAATACAAAATATATAGAAGATGCATATGGTCCAGTGGAAAACATTATATCTCGCAATTTTGACTTTATATCTCGCAATTCTGAGTTTATATCGCAATTCTGAGTTTATATCGCAATTTTGACTTTACATCTCAATTCTGAGTTTATATCTCAATTTTGAGTTTATATCTCAATTCTGAGTTTATATCTCAATATCTCAATTCTCAGTTTATATCTCAATTTTGAGTTTATATCTCAATTCTGAGTTTATATCTCAATATCTCAATTCTCAGTTTATATCTCAATTTTGAGTTTATATCTCAATTCTGAGTTTATATCTCAATATCTCAATTCTCAGTTTATATCTCAATTTTGAGTTTATATCTCAATTCTGAGTTTATATCTCAATATCTCAATTCTCAGTTTATATCTCAATTTTGAGTTTATATCTCAATTCTGAGTTTATATCTCAATATCTCAATTCTCAGTTTATATCTCAATTTTGAGTTTATATCTCAATTCTGAGTTTATATCTCAATATCTCAATTCTCAGTTTATATCTCAATTTTGAGTTTATATCTCAATTCTGAGTTTATATCTCAATATCTCAATTCTCAGTTTATATCTCAATTTTGAGTTTATATCTCAATTCTGAGTTTATATCTCAATATCTCAATTCTCAGTTTATATCTCAATTTTGAGTTTATATCTCAATTCTGAGTTTATATCTCAATATCTCAATTCTCAGTTTATATCTCAATTTTGAGTTTATATCTCAATTCTGAGTTTATATCTCAATATCTCAATTCTCAGTTTATATCTCAATTTTGAGTTTATATCTCAATTCTGAGTTTATATCTCAATATCTCAATTCTCAGTTTATATCTCAATTTTGAGTTTATATCTCAATTCTGAGTTTATATCTCAATATCTCAATTCTCAGTTTATATCTCAATTTTGAGTTTATATCTCAATTCTGAGTTTATATCTCAATATCTCAATTCTCAGTTTATATCTCAATTTTGAGTTTATATCTCAATTCTGAGTTTATATCTCAATATCTCAATTCTCAGTTTATATCTCAATTTTGAGTTTATATCTCAATTCTGAGTTTATATCTCAATATCTCAATTCTCAGTTTATATCTCAATTTTGAGTTTATATCTCAATTCTGAGTTTATATCTCAATATCTCAATTCTCAGTTTATATCTCAATTTTGAGTTTATATCTCAATTCTGAGTTTATATCTCAATATCTCAATTCTCAGTTTATATCTCAATTTTGAGTTTATATCTCAATTCTGAGTTTATATCTCAATATCTCAATTCTCAGTTTATATCTCAATTTTGAGTTTATATCTCAATTCTGAGTTTATATCTCAATATCTCAATTCTCAGTTTATATCTCAATTTTGAGTTTATATCTCAATTCTGAGTTTATATCTCAATATCTCAATTCTCAGTTTATATCTCAATTTTGAGTTTATATCTCAATTCTGAGTTTATATCTCAATATCTCAATTCTCAGTTTATATCTCAATTTTGAGTTTATATCTCAATTCTGAGTTTATATCTCAATATCTCAATTCTCAGTTTATATCTCAATTTTGAGTTTATATCTCAATTCTGAGTTTATATCTCAATATCTCAATTCTCAGTTTATATCTCAATTTTGAGTTTATATCTCAATTCTGAGTTTATATCTCAATATCTCAATTCTCAGTTTATATCTCAATTTTGAGTTTATATCTCAATTCTGAGTTTATATCTCAATATCTCAATTCTCAGTTTATATCTCAATTTTGAGTTTATATCTCAATTCTGAGTTTATATCTCAATATCTCAATTCTCAGTTTATATCTCAATTTTGAGTTTATATCTCAATTCTGAGTTTATATCTCAATATCTCAATTCTCAGTTTATATCTCAATTTTGAGTTTATATCTCAATTCTGAGTTTATATCTCAATATCTCAATTCTCAGTTTATATCTCAATTTTGAGTTTATATCTCAATTCTGAGTTTATATCTCAATATCTCAATTCTCAGTTTATATCTCAATTTTGAGTTTATATCTCAATTCTGAGTTTATATCTCAATATCTCAATTCTCAGTTTATATCTCAATTTTGAGTTTATATCTCAATTCTGAGTTTATATCTCAATATCTCAATTCTCAGTTTATATCTCAATTTTGAGTTTATATCTCAATTCTGAGTTTATATCTCAATATCTCAATTCTCAGTTTATATCTCAATTTTGAGTTTATATCTCAATTCTGAGTTTATATCTCAATATCTCAATTCTCAGTTTATATCTCAATTTTGAGTTTATATCTCAATTCTGAGTTTATATCTCAATATCTCAATTCTCAGTTTATATCTCAATTTTGAGTTTATATCTCAATTCTGAGTTTATATCTCAATATCTCAATTCTCAGTTTATATCTCAATTTTGAGTTTATATCTCAATTCTGAGTTTATATCTCAATATCTCAATTCTCAGTTTATATCTCAATTTTGAGTTTATATCTCAATTCTGAGTTTATATCTCAATATCTCAATTCTCAGTTTATATCTCAATTTTGAGTTTATATCTCAATTCTGAGTTTATATCTCAATATCTCAATTCTCAGTTTATATCTCAATTTTGAGTTTATATCTCAATTCTGAGTTTATATCTCAATATCTCAATTCTCAGTTTATATCTCAATTTTGAGTTTATATCTCAATTCTGAGTTTATATCTCAATATCTCAATTCTCAGTTTATATCTCAATTTTGAGTTTATATCTCAATTCTGAGTTTATATCTCAATATCTCAATTCTCAGTTTATATCTCAATTTTGAGTTTATATCTCAATTCTGAGTTTATATCTCAATATCTCAATTCTGAGTTTATATCTCAATTTTGAGTTTATATCTCAATTCTGCCAGAACGTTCCAACAACGTTCAAAATAGAGAATCACTGCTAAAGTGCTGTTGAATCCTGCAGCCGAATGGATGCATTTTGATAGATTCTGCTTTGACACATTTTGCAGGACAAAGTACTTTGTTCCATGCAAAAAAAAAAAACATTTATTTATTGTCATGTGAGCAAAAGACGAAAATAAAAGCCCACATGGTTTGAAAACCCATCAAGTCTTCATGTCAGACAGATGTACTTCCACTCGGTGAAGCCAGGGGTTTCTCTCCACCTGCTGTGTGTGTGTGTGTGTGTGTGTCCGTCAGACGGCGTTACCCCTGCCAATTACCACAGATTACAGCAGGATGACAGTCCGTGTGTCCTGAGCTGAGGCAAATTGCAGGGGAACTATGCAAAATAACCACCGGGTGCATTTAAATGGAAACCTTTACCAGACAAACATCATCATACGATAACTAATCTCTGTCCGAATGCACGTCCGTCTTTACCGTCGCTTTAACTAAACGCCGTCTCTGACTGCGCGGCGCTACTTTCTTTATTTTCTGCTTCACTAGTATCTGTCCTGAGATAAAACTGGTGAAATGGCCTTAAAAGCCATTTGAAGAAGCGTCTGGAAGGGTAAAATTAATGGGTAGAATTTTAACACAAGAGATTGAACGCTGTTTGTGTGCTGAGTCTCGATGTTTTATCAGATGTATAAATCCATGCATCTGAAGTGTGATGCTATTTCAATGCATGGCTTGTTACTTTACTGTGTAAAACACAAGGTTTTTAGTGATGAGAGTAGTAGTTTAGTGATGTCATGAGCTGAGCATCTTAGATATGCACATTGAAACTATACTAGTCAACATTTGGATCAAAAGAGTTCATCAAAGTTGCCGTAAGACAAGAATGCATTTTGGTTTTAGGTTTTAGGACAACTTTGATGAAAGGTTTTGATCCACTTCAAATGTTGACTAGTGTAGTTTGGATCCAAATTATCCCAAATATTAAATAAACATGTTGGTTTGATCTTTTTTTTGTGTGTGCAATAAGCTTGGTATATTTTAAGCCCTAACAAGTTTTCTGCCTCTTACTGCACCGTATATGAAATATTATATTGCTTTTTATTGTAAACATTATATACCATACACAAAAAAATATGTTCTAGAAACATTTTACGAATGTTCCCATTAAGTTATTAACAATAATTCTGAATGTTTTAAAAATGATTGTTCTTGGTTATGCGAACGTTAAGGGAACGTTTCCAATTCATCATTCTGAAAGCATTATAGAAACGTTACTTTTTAATTTTCTCTGAACGTTCTGAAACAAGAAGTAACATTCAAAAAATGTTAGACTAACGTTTAAAACATTTTCCATGAACGATGTATAAATAATGTTTTACCGGAAGAACGTTTGTTCATAACTTTGAGAGAATCTTGCCAGAACATTAGATACATTTCTGAGATTGTTCCCTGTTAGCTGGGATTGTTCATGGAACATTTTATTTCTGAAACATTTTAGTCGAGCGTTCATCTAACATTTTTTTTACGTGTTTCAAAGCATTCAGAGAACATTCAAAAGTAACAT